TTATTTATTTCATATTTAATTACTCTATTTCGATTATTTATTTGAATAATATTTATTCGATTTTTCATTTTACTATTTCTTTAATTCATTATCTTAGTTCGTTAAGTAAAAAAATTATTGTTTTTTAAATTTATTCTTTAAATATTTCGTTAATTATGTATATTATTTATTTCGATTATTTATTTGAATAAAAATAATAATATTTATTCGATTTTTCGTTTTACAATTTCTTTAATTAATTATCTTAATTGGTTAGGTAAAAAAAATATTATTCAATTTAATTTATTCTTTAAATATTTCGTTAATCATGTGTTTTATCTATTTCATATTTAATTATTCTATTTCGATTATTTATTTCAATAATATTTATTCGATTTTTCCTTTTACTATTTTTTTAATTCATTATCTTAGTTCGTTAAGTAAAAAAATTATTTATTTCAAAATCCGGGTCGGTGTGTCTGGTAGTCGTAACGGACCACATGGTCCACTACGGTCCGTAATGGACCAGCAGCGACGGAGCCGCCAGAAAACTTCATTTCCGGCGAGCTCCGTCCCTTTTTTTCACTCTTTTTCAACATTTTAACCTCAAATTCGATATTTTCTTACATTTTAACCATAAAAACATGAATTTAACCCATTTTCATCTCCTAAACATTCAAACTTTCACAAATTCGAAGTAGTTATTTATAGAAAACATGTCTAACCTTCCAGAAAATGACGGTCTCCGGCGAATCGAGGTGGCTCTGGTCTTAGTCGAAGTTGGTGAGGTCCGGGCAGTCCGTAGGCGACGTCGACGGTCCGGGCAGATTTTTTCTTTTTTTTTCTCTTTTTTTTTCTCTCTATTTTCTCTTCTCTTCTTTCCTTGATGGGGGGTATTTTCGACCCTACACAAATAATAACATTTTCCCTCTTTTTTTTTTTTTTTTTTAAACTTGGTCAAATGCTATTTTGATAAACATACCGGGTGGGATAGCCATTGCCCACCATTTCCTCATTTTTTTGTTGCTTATACTTGAAAATCTTTTCCAAATGATTACATATGTAATTGTCTACTAATGGGTGATGGCAGATACTAGTAGCCCTCAATTCGTGATTGTACGTTCTATAACCTGTTCGACTTCAAGTGTTGTTTGTTAATCAGAAGCTAGTTGTAGGAGATTCAATCGTGTTTTTCAGGGGCCAAAAATGGGGATCTCTGTGTTAGGGTTCTGAGACCATGAATCTTCATCTGGGTGGAAAGGGTGTGGTATTTGGAGAAGATAAACTGTTTTGCCCATTTTTATTTAATTATTTTAATAAAATCTAAATTCATAATTTTACACCTCACTTATTTGTCAATTTGAGACAAATTTCTAATTTCATGGTTGACCAACGGAATAATGATTGATTCTGTTTAAAAGGACGTTTTTATTTATCAATTTTGATTAGATCAAAATAATATTTCACGTTATTGGCATCGTGATTGGGAACCTCATGGGTCTCACACAAAAGGAGAACTCGATGATTGTGATTTATCGATTAATTAATTTAACAAGCATTGGATAAAATAATTAATTGGGTTGCTTATTTATAGGCTTGAATTAATTAATTAATTCACGGACCAGATTTAATTAAATGGGTTAATTAAATTTGGACCGGGTGAGGCTAAGCCTGTTTGGGCTCATATGAATAAGTTATTAGGGTTTACAAATCCGTAAAGAAGATTCATTATTTTTGCTAGCACAAGAAGAAAATCTTAATCTTACAATCTTGTTCTTTGTGTGAATCATCGTTAGAGGCTGGACAATTGGACAATTGTGAATGGTAGATCAAGGTGCTGGAAAAAGAAAAAGCAAAAGAGTTTGCAGATCTCGTAAAAGGTACAATTTCTATCACATTTTCTATGTAAACACAAAGATGAATTTTTATGGGAATTGAAAATTGTTTTATTTTCGCTGCGCATGTTTAAGTAGATTCCCAACAGTGGGAAACTTGACAAGATTACCATATTTAGGGAAGGTGTTAATGAGTCACACTTCAACCAAGTTGTGAATATCGAACTTAATCAAAATTCTTATCTAATAATGGAATATTAAGAAACTCAGGATTCATTCTAAAAAGAACAATCAGTTAATTAGTTACGAGTGTCTAGACTGATGACAAAGATTAGTGCATGTAGTACATGTGATGAACTCGTACGTACTGAATGGGTGCAATATACAATTCAGTTTTAGTTGTTTATACTTGAAAATCTTTTCCAAATGATTACAAAGGTATTTGTCTAGTAACATAATATAATTTTTGTGATGTACGCGACCTTGTCAGAGTTTGATAAAAGTTGGGAAAATAGGAGGAGTTTATGTTGAAGCTCCATTGGAAGTCTTTGAAGACATCCCACAAGATAGACAAGCTCCACATCTTGTTTGGGTCAAGAGGATATTTGGCGATATTTTGGAAAAAAATTTCTGGGCTACAAAAGTTCTTTTCTTTGTTTGCTTCCGGAGAGGAAATACTGTGGCATTTATGGTCCTTGGAAGCTGAAAAACCTGGCTGACTTTGGTGCAGTTGATCAGTGCCTGGCTCCAATTAGGGTTAATTATCACGAATGTCCTATTAAATATAAATGCGCAGCTTGGTGGATTAAATTCTATGTTTGCCGTTTAGAAATCTTCTCTGCTCATGATATCGAAAATTCCCCCATAATTCTTGGAATGGATGTTACACACAAGTCCCTGGGTCAGTCTGATATCCCGTCAAATGCTGCCGTTGTTAGTTCAACGCAATGGCCATTGATACTCATTGTAGAGGTTCTGTGCACACTCAATCACTGAAGGTTGAAATGATAAAATCTCTGTTCAAACACTTATCACTGAAGATGATGGCATATTTAAAGAACTTATGCTCCATTTTAGTGTTTGGTTTGGACAAAGGATGCTTGACAAGCTTATCATATTCAGGGATGTATTAGCGAATCACAGTTCAACCAACTTCACAATATTGAACTCAATTAAATTATTGAGTCTTGCAAGTTTCTAAATGAAACATGGTCGATAAAATTTAAGGTGACTGTTGCAAAGGAAAACAATGACACGATTTTATTCAGCTTGGTTCTCCTATTAATGTGCAGCCAGGGACGTTAATAGATAGTTAATCTAATTTAAATAATGTTTTGTGTGATTTTTAAACCTTAACATGTAAGGCTTTGTAAACGCGTGGTTCTTAATATACTCTATTGTCGCTAGGAGAAGAAAGTTGCATCCTTGATTTTGAGATCCATGTGATTGTCTGTGGAAAAAAACATGGATTCTAGTCAGAATTCCATGTTAAATATAAGTCTTATAGGTATTAGGTAAGCAAACACTTGGTAAGTGATGTTCACCTAAAACTGAAATCAGTGTATTCAAAGACCTTATTTTCTGTAATGGTTGTGATTTGCCTAAAAAATAAAACTAGAGGATTGCATTAATGCATTTCATACGATCAATTAGAACGTGCAATCCATGTGCTATATTTATGTGACGATTTGCAATAATATTGTAGTAGAGTATTATTTGTCAGTTTATATTCCAAAGAAGCCTTATTTTTTATTTTTTTTATTTTTGTTGAAGAAGAAAGATGCTTAACTAATATTATAACTTTAATTTCTGCTAAAATTAACTCAAGTGCAAGCATTAATCTTTGTACTACAAAATTGACAAGTAATTACAGTTTGAATTAGAGCTAAATATATATATATATTTTTAAAAAAACTAATTAGTTATATGTGTCTTGAATGCCGACAGCGACTAAGTCGTGCAGTTCACGTGATGAACTCGCACTGAATACGTGCAACAATTTTTTTTTTTTTTTGTTGCTTATACTTGAAAATCTTTTCCAAATGATTACAGAGGTAATTGTTTAATAATGGGTGATGGCAGAAACTCGTAGCCCTCAATTCGTGATTGTACGTTCTATGACCTGTTTGACTTCAAGTGTTGTTTGTTAATCAGAAGCTAGTTGTAGGAGATTCAATCATGTTTTTCAGGGGCCGAAAATGGGGATCTCTGTGTTAGGATTCGGAAGGCCAAGAGGGATGGCAGCATCGTCGGCTATGAATCTTCATCTGGGAGGAAAGGGTGCAGGATTTGGAGAAGATAAATTTTTTTGCCCATTTTTATTTAATTATTTTAATAAAATGTAAATTCATAATTTTACCCCTCAATTTCAGACGAATTTCTAATTTCATGGTTGACCAGCGGATTAATGATGGATTCTGTCTAATGACTTTGGCTGTAGTCGAGTGAAAGGTTTGG